AAATACTATGAATTCTTAAGATTCAAATTCTCTTGTGACCATAGGATATTGGAAAGAACATATTGTAGATATGTAGGCTACAAGATTCACTAAGGATGACCTGGCATGTAAAAAGTGGCATAAAAGGCATCATCAAAGACACATATGACTCACAAAGGAAGTGGGACAGTAAAGCAATGAGTGAAGAGAAATAAATAAACTTTACAAGCAAAGTCTGGACATCCACAAAACAGCAACTTTAGAGGTCCTGACACCACAGTCTTTATCTTCACCTCAGAGGAAGACTACTCAAACCCCTGGTACTATGTTCAGGCCACCACTGCAAGGACCCTGTAATCCAGAACCTCCTACAGGCTGCACAATTCATTTCAAGTTCATAGCTACCTTTCTCTGATATGGGTAGCACGAATTCATAATTAGGTACAAAGGAGATTCCTTTAAGACCAGAGAAGTTGTAAAGGGATACAATTAAATTCAATAAATTTAACAAAGAGTCAGAATTAGGTTCAATATGAGGAAGATCTTTCTGACAATGGATTAGCAGCCTTGAAAAGTAATGATTTATTTCCCCATCATTAGAAATGTTTTCAACCAGAGATAACATTGACTTTTTGTCAGGGATGGTATTGACATAGCTGAAAAGAAAAGAAGGCAAAGTAAGACAAAATGACCTTTGAATGTACTTTCTGAATAACATTCTAGATAGTACTGTGTACTGGACAGGAGTCAGGATACCTTCGTAATTTTAAATTAGCTGTGTGATTTGGGGCAACTGGGTCGGGGGTGGGGAGAGAGGAATAAGGGGGAAAAGAGAAGAACAGATGAGCCAGAAACACATACATAATACAATGATTTGTAAACATCCATGAAGTAAGGATTGTTTTTTAAAAGTCAAATAATAAGGAATCAGGAAAAACCTTCCTCTGGGAAATGAGCTTTGAAACACAATTTAAAGAAAGGAAGGGAAGGATGCATTCTGACAAACGGGAAAATGTTCTGTAATACATGGAACAGTATGAACATGTGTTTAGAAGCAGGAGGGAGCTTTCATAAAATTGGGAAATAGCAAGAATGGAAAGTTAGTTGAAAAGAGTTGTAGATAGGAAAAGGTAAGAACAAACAGAGTGGAATTAGCTAATGAGCAGTCCTAAAACTTAACTGTTAAAATTTTATGTTCTAAGGAGTTGGAAATTTCAGTAAAGAAACAGACCAAAATAAGAAGGAAAAGTTATCATTAAAATAGAGAGGAAGGGGGGAAAAAAAGCAAGGATATTTCCATTATTACTACAAAAGAAGTTTCTTGGGAAGAGAAACATGTCTTCTAAACCCTACTTTATAAATGAGTAAACGGTCACCATACCTTCTAATTTAGTAACTTACCTAAGTCACATCAGAACCTGGAAAAATATCAGTACTATACCCCAGTTCTCATGAAAAACAATCCAACACTCCATTCACTAGGATATATTATTAAACATCAGTGAGAAAATTAAAGATGTCTGCTGTCATTATGTGAAGAAATATGCCTTTTGCGAAGAATTAAAACTATAGCAAATTAACCCTATTTGCCAGGTAGAGAAGCTGAATGATACTCAAGCTACTCTATTCAAAGGCACATCAATATGCCATATTACTCAGGCTGAGAAAGCTAGAAGAAGAAAACTGATTTAAATTTCTGGTTGGAGGCCAGCATTTAGTCATTCTGGCATACTACTTCTTTCCACTATACGTTCTAATACATTAAAGCCTGCCAAAAAATTAAAGTGATAAACCTATTTTCAGTCTAGCAAGCTATTAATCAATTTATAGAGCTGACTTTCTAGCCAATACAACATAGCAAGCTACATAAATCAAGGGGCCAGGACAAGTTTGCTCCTCTCCATCTACAAGAATTAGGAAGAAGCAAATCTAAACAAACTGGAATGAAATCAGACATTCAGAGATCAATGAGATTAAATGGAAAAGAGCAAGTCAAGTCAAGCCAATTAGTACTGATTTAGTTCTTACTGTGTGGCAGACACTGTGCTAAGGACTGGCATACAAAAAAAAATGTCTGGTATTTAAAGAAAGGCCAAAAAAAAAATAGTCCCTGTTCTCAAGAAGGTGACAGTCTCATGGAGAAGGCAACATGAAAAGAGCTATACACAAACAAAATGTGTACAGGATAAATTGATAGTAATCTCAGAAGGAAGGAACTAGATTAAGGAAGACTGTGCGGATAGGCTTTTTGCAGAAGGCAAGATTTTAGTAGACAGTTGAAGGAAGCCAGGGAACCTAGGAGGCAGAGAAGAGGAGTGACAGCATTCCAAGCACTGGGAACAGCTAGTAAAAAAAAAAAAAGCCTGAGTCAGGAGATAAGAGCGACATGCGAGAGGAACAGCAAGAAGGACAATATCACTGGATCTCAGAGTACACAGATTGGCGTAAGGTGTAAGAAGACTGCAAAGGCAGAAAGAAGCCAAGTTATGAAGGGCTCTAAATGCCCAACAGAGAATTTTAGATTTGATCGTGAAACAGGAAGTTTATTAAATGGTGGTAGGGGTTAGGAATATGGGAAAAGGGAAAGTGATCTGGTCAGAGTTGCATTTTAGGAAGATCGGTTTGACAGCTAAGTACAAGATGGACTGGAATGAGGAGAGACTTGAAATGAGGAGACCAAATACCAGACTACTGAAATCATCAGGCATAAAGAGATGAGGGCCTGCAGCAGGATGGGTGCAGTGGAGAGAAGGGGGCATATATGAGAGAAGGTATGAAGGTGGAATAGACAGGATTTGTTAACTGATTTGATACAGAAGGTGAGAGTGAGCAATTAGGATGACACCTAGGTATGAGCCTAGAGGAATGGGAAAATGGTGGTACTTTAGACAGTAATTGGGAAGTTAGGAATACAGGAAGAATTGGGGAGAAAGATGAGTTCAGGTTGGACAGGCTGAGCTTAAGAGCCCTATGGGACATTCAGTTCAAGATGTCTGAGACAACTGGAGACATGAGACTGGAAATCAGGATAGAGATTAGAGAAGGACAAGAAAATCTGAGAGCCATATGCACAGAGATGATAACTGAAACCATGGGAGCTAATGAGATCACCAAGTAAAATAGTATAATAGGGGAAGAGAATAAGGCCTGGGTCAGAGTCCTGGAGGACCCTTGCAGTTAACACTTCCATTTGAAAGATATCATCATTTAAAAGGAAAATAAAAACAATTCTCACCTCTCCTTATGTTTTATATTTATGAGTGACTAATGTTTAAATATATTATTTATAGGACTAAGCCTGTCACAACGTGTTCACTTCTCAAAAAGTAGAGGACAAAGCTCTAATTTAAACACTTCAAAAACACAAACACTAGAAAGAACATAGCAGGTGCCCAATAAATTGTTGCTACTTTAACTGCTGTCAATGAACAGCCACAGAAAGTGTATTACTCATGTAAAGGACTGGTTGCCCAATCTTCCAGGGAGAACAAAACATTTCTCTGAGAGTTTCAATGCAAGGTCTTAAGGGCATACCATCATTATATGCTCTGACACACAATGTAGAACAATTCAAAATGTGTGAATATGTCCCAAGTTCTGTCCAGCAATGGCCTCATTCAAAACTCGCATGAAGTGATGTCAAGAAAATAATATATTGATCAAAATTACACAGAAGAAACCAACATAAAAATGCTGCCAAACCCAGATTACAATTTCCAATCATGGTCCTAAACAAGAAGAAACATACTTCCCTCCTCTTAGGAGAAGACATAGGAGACTAAAAAGTGTGGAATGATGACTGTACTGTCATAGGATGAGGTTTTGCTTAAATTTCTTTGTTATACAAAGGATCTTAATAAGGAAGAGGGATATATTGGAAAACAACTGCAATATTTTTTAAAAGACGTACATAAAAGTTATGGAGAGGGAGGAGAGAAAGAAGGATGAAGAGAGAAAACATTTCCATCCTTGGGATACAGGCAATGTAAGAAACTAAGCTATACGCATGGAAGAAAACTCTTTCCATACAGAAGTTTAGAAATATGTTCACTCTCTGCATTTCTTACAACATAAGTAAATGTACTAAAATCAGAAAATACTGTGTACATTTCTGTTATTTGCTTCTCAAAACCAGAGAGAAATGCTACAAGATGGCTACAGGGAACAGAATGGACTATTCCGAAAAGGCAGTGTGTGCAAAAGTGCTGGGTAACTTTTCATGATTTATTTCCAAAACTACATCAGAACACCATGGGTCAACTGTCCCACGGAATAACTAATTCACAGATTACCTTTTTCTGAAGGACACCAGGTAACAGCCCTGAACGTATTTGGAATTGTGAACAACTACTGAGGCATCTCTTTTGGCTGCAAAAAGTTACACGATGAAGTTGTTGTAACGAAAAAATTCAATATAGGTAAGAAATGCCAGAACTGGTATCATTCAGCTCTATTTCCCTCAAAAAGGGGAGAGATTTTGGTGCCTAATAATTTCTTTTTCTTTTTTTTAAAAATTTTTAGGCAATTGGGGGTTAAGTGACTTGCCAGGGTCACACAGCTAGTAAATGTCTAGTGTTTGGTCTGAGGCCACATTTGAACTGAGGTCCTCCTGACTTCAGGGCCGGTGCTCTACCCACTGCGCCACCTAGCTGCCCCCTAATACTTTCTTTCTAAGCCTAAAAGTACTTTTAAAAATCCATTTCCCACGTGCTCTACAATAAATCAAATGATCACTTCTATTCTTTGGCTTCTAATAAGTACCCCAAGTTAGAAAGCATAAGCACAATAAGACAAGATTTCTGTGAAATGAAGAGAAGATTATCTTAGCTTTATAAAGTAAGAGGGAAATTAGATCACCTAAACACAACTTTTGCTATAGACACCAAGCTATCCTGGAAATCCAATATCACATAAGTTTAAATCTGTAGAAACCTGAAACCTGGAATGGTCTTTACCACAAAATTCCTTAAAATACTACAGGCACCAAAAGGAAATCTCCAATTTTAAAGCATGCCACTTACTTGGTGCATTCTTCTAAAGACTGTACAAGCATTTGCTGGAAAGAACTTATTTCTTCTAGATTTCCCATTAAATATAAAATATTTGTTGAGTTTAACCTGGAGGAAAGAAAAATACGAGTAAAAATGTGTGAGCAATTTTACAAACATGCCTCCTCCCCATCCAAAACCCACAAAATTCTTCTTTTATTTTTAAAGCATACTTTAATCTAAGAGTAAAATCCTTCAATGCCATTTTTTATTATCAACTTTCCAGTAACGGACGAGAGAAGGTAGTAATAAGGGGACAAAAAGTAGCATAGGATTATTTAAGTATTAAAAATCCCTTCTAATAATAACAAGAATTAATAATCTAACTTACTTTTCACTGGACTGTAATGGTCGCAGGTAAGTTGAAAGAATAGTCTGTAGTTCTTTAGAATATTCATTTTCTGTTTCTAAAATATTCTGTAGCACCTACAATAAATAACGAATGACTATTAGCTAACTTTCAAAGGATGGTAACACTGCACAAGAATTACACACTTTGGGAAAAATTGTTCAAGTTTTATACTGGGCCTTTATAGAAGTGTTTGAGATCATTACTTCATCTGTGCTCCTTGGTTCTGAACCTATTAATTCTTCAAACCTATTTGAGGAACTATAGCTAATATTTTTTCAAATTATCCCATCCCATCTTGCCAAAAACATTACTGAATAAATAGTAACAAAAAAGCAAAGACCTCTAAAGTGAGTAAAAAGAATATATACCATGTAGCATTAATCACTGTGCCTAATACAACTAGTCATAAAGGAACTAGACATACATACAACTACAAGACACTACTCTAACCACATTCCAATTCAATTCAACAAACATTCATTATGTCTTTGAAATCCATAAAAATTGAACATGTTGTACTAATATATTTTCAGTAGAACAATGAATTAGTAAAAAACATTCTGGAAAACAATTTGGAATTATGTAAAGTGGCTAAAATAATCATTCCCTTTGACCCAAAGATTCCACTACTAAGTACACATCCCAAGAAGATCTCTGACAAAAATAAAGATTCCATAATACACCAAGATATTTATAGCAGCACTTTTTGTGGTAACAATCAACAACAATCATTAATCAAGCATTTATTATTTGGCCAGCACTGTGTAAAGTTCTGGTGAGACAAAGAAAGGCAAAGAACAGTTCCTGCTCTCAAGAAGCTCACAGTCTAATAAAAGAGATGATATGCAAACAATTATGTACAAACAAGCTATACAGAGAATAAATTGGAGATAATGAAGATAATAATAGAAGGAAGGCACCAGCATTAAGAGATTGGGAGAAGCTTCTTATAGAAGATAGGATTTTAGCTGGGACTTGAAAAAAACCAAAGAAGCCAAGAAAGGAGAAGAGCCACCTCCGCACATGAGAGACAGTTAAGAATAAAATAATGGAGGAATACATCTGAGTGATATGAGATGAAGAACAAGGCAAAAATCTCCGTGAATGGCATCACTTTTTTTCAGTGAAATATAGGCATGTTTTCAGCTGACAAGAAAAGAGAGGGGTAGCCATGGAAATGAGGAAAGATGGAAATATTTGAAAAAAGCACATGGTCAGTAGAGAGTCTAAGAGTCTAATCAATTACGGAGGTGTAACAGGATTACCTTAGCACAATGAGGACTCAATTGAAATTTTTTCAGTTGGATATATATTTATAGTAGATTTAGTCAACAGAGTTTCATGAATTTTTGTCCAGCTTTGTTGGGTGGGAGTGATCCAAGACTAAAGCTCAGAAAGACAAAACTGGCAATAAGATAAAGAGGCAAATGACTTAAGGGAAGAGGACAGTGTAGAGTTGAACTGGCTCACCAAATAATCAAGATAGAAAAAGGAGAAGATTGTGGCCAGTGCAGGGGTGACAGCCTGAGCTAGAACTAGGGGACAGACGGATTGGAGAGCACAGAAAGGACAAAGAACAGGGTTAGGATACACAAGATAGAGGGAAAGATGAAGTGACAACAAATTATGATCAGATAAATGGAATTTCAGAGTTCATGAGGATGATAAAAGAATATTTTGGGGTGATGGCAAGATCAAGGTTATGTTGCTCAGGTAGAGGTACAGGTCATGGAAAAGGAGTAAACTGAGGAACTAGCAGGTTAGAGTGCAAGAGATATCAGTATGTATGCTGACATCTCTGAGTAGGAGGAGAGGAGTCAGAAAGGAGAAAGACTGTGAGCCACGGGCGCTAAAGTTATTGAGAAATGGAGAATGTCTTGGAAGTCCTGTAGATAAGTTATCAGAATCTTGACTGGGTGATAAATATGGATTGAATGAACCTCGAAGGAGAAGTTTCAGACTGATGGTAATAAAGGGAGAGCTTGCAAGTCACAATGGCGAAATAAGGAGGACCTTTCCTTTTAGGTAAAAGTCAACTTCTCCGTTTGACATCTAAATTACTTCATGGGTTTTCCAGTCTTCTCACATATTACATCTCTCCACACATTGTGTGCTATAACCATACTGGCCTGTTTGTTACTCTGTTCATATGGGCCCCTCTCTCTTTCCAAGTCTTTGCACTAGCTGCCTTCATGCTTGGAAGATCCGCCTCTACTTTGCCTACCGGATTTTCTGGTTTCCTTCAAGATTCAGCTTAAGCACTCCCTTTTGGCATGGTGCCTTTGCTAATTCCTCTCCCCTCCCCTCACCCTCAGCTGCTACCAAATTTTCTCCGAAAATGACCTTACATTTATTTTGTGTATGTTACATGTGTGCTTGTACATGGTATCTCTGTCATCAGAACAGAAATTCTTTGAAGGGAGAGCCAGCTATTGCCCTTTGTTTGTATCCTTTTGTATCCCTACTGTTTAATAAAAGTTTATAAACTGAGTGAGCAATAATAATGTGAACTGTGATCCTTGGCTCCTGGACAGAGTAGTGGAAAGACTACCTTAACTAGAAGCCAAAGAGATCTTGGGTCTAGTTCTACTTCTACCATTAATTTGACATGTCATTTTGAATAAGTTAGTTCAAAAACATGCTACAGAGAAGGGATTAAATATAAAGAATGACACACATTTCTGAACATGACATAAGTGGACATCTGTTTTGCTTCACTACTCATATTTGTTATCAAAATTTTGTTTTTTCTTCTCACTCTTTCCTATGGGAGGAGGGAGGTGGGAAGGAGAGGGTAAAAAAAATAATAATTTTTTTTTAAATAGGAACTATCTCCCTGAACCTCAATGTCTCATTAGAGTTAAAGCCCCATCCAGTTCTAACAGTATATAATAATGCATTCTTTCCATCACATCAGGTGCTAATCTAATCACCTAGAAAAGATCTCCTAGGCAGATTTTCAATTTTCTAAATATCCAGGAGATCTTCATGTTTAAATGTATGTGAAGAAAAATGCATTACTTTGTTAATATATAAAGGACATCAATATCCTGTGATTATCAAATGCACATTAACAAATACTGCTTGGGTCATACAATTCACTATTGTCTTTGAGCAGATAATACAGTTATTCCACTCATTCATAATTAAATGCAAACCTGATTAAATATCTAACATGCTATAGTATTTGAAAAGAAGAACTTGTGGTTTCTTTTGGTGGTGACACCGAACTCCAGTGAATTCCCTGAACGGTTCTATTCATTTAAAGGTAGACTGGGGAAGCAAGGCAGTAGAGGAGAGATCACTTATGGAGCTGTCAAAAATTGCTCATTTATTTGTTAAGAGTCTGCTAAGATCATACAATGTCTTCCTTCTGAGAAATGCACATAAATATCACACTACAACAGAAGGTCTTAAGTGGGGGACAGAAACCACAGCCTAACAGTGCATTAATTCTCTGGGTAGAGAGAAATTGTGAACTAGGTGACTTATTTTCTTTCAAAATACAAAGTGGAATCCATAGTCATATGAAAAAATGCTCTAAATCACTATTGATTAGAGAAATGCAAATCAAAACGATTCTGAGGTACCATATCACACCTATCAGATTGGCCAACATGACAAAACAGGAAAATGATAAATGTTGGAAAAGACGTAGGGAAATTGGAACACTGATATGTTGTTGGTGGAGTTGTGAACTGATCCAGCCATTCTGGATAGCAATTTGGAACTATAAAATTGTGTATACCCTTTGACCCAGCAATAACATTTCTAGGTCTGTATCCCAAAGAGATCACAAAAACGGGAAAAGGACCCACATGTACAAAAATATTTATAGCAGCTCTTTGTGTGGTGGCAAAGAATTGGAAACTGAGGGGATGCCCATCAATTGAGGAATGGCTGAACAAGTTGTGGTATATGAATGTAATGGAATACTATCATGCTATAAGAAATGATGAGCAGGCAGACTTCAGAAAAACCTGGAAAGCTTTGAATCGATTGATGCTAAGTGAAGTGAGCAGAACCAGGAGAACACTGGACACACTAACAGCCACGATGTACAACAATGACTAACTTTGATAGACTCATCTCTTCTTAGCAATTCAAGGATCCAAGACAACTCCAAGCACTCATGATGGAAAATGATGTCCACATCCAGAAAAAAAACTATGGAGTCTGAATGCAGATCAAAGCATATTATTTGCTCTCTCTCTCTCTCTCTTTTTTGTTTTTTCTTTCTTCTGGTTTCTCCCATTAGTTCTAATTTTTCTTTACAACATGACCAACATGAAAATAGGTTCAATACGAATGGATATGTAGAACCTATATCAAATTGCACATCATCTTGGGATGCAGGGAGGGGAGAGATTGGGAGAAATTTGGAATTCAAAATCTTATGGAAGTGAATGTTGAAAACTAAAAATAAATAAATAAAAACACCTTCCTTAGGTTGTAGAGAAAGTAAGAGAAGAGGTGAAAGAAACACCAGGAGCAAGATGCATAACAGGAAACACAAATGTACTTTACAGGAACTGCAATTACTTCAACCTGGCTACAACTGAGAATTTATTGAAGCTACTGTAGCACCCAACAGATTTCCTATGTATGTGGCCAGTCTCCAAATCCTAAGTTCATAGTCCCTTGAGAAATTTAGTTTTAGGTCCTAATGAAATGATGTAATAAGAATGATACACTAAACTTCGAACACAGGGAAACCAGTTGGGCCAGTTCCTTGAGAGGTTTGTATACAGATGGCACATTACAAAGTAGCAGAAATGGCAGGGGAAAAACTAAGTAACACAGCAGTGGTAGAGGCAGTAAAACCTGAACTCCAGTCAGGAAAAAAAGGAAGATAAAGAGAGTTATCAGGAGAGGTATAGAGACAGCATTAACTCATTGTGGCAGGTCATTTATGTGGCCAAAGCAATGATGCACATAGCTTGTGAGGAATGCAAAGAAATTAAGCTCTCCTTATCCTCCTCCCCTTTCTGTTCTTCAGCTGGAAGCAACTGGAGACAATTTCGGAATTTATTTTCTTACTCTACTATAAATTGTTTTTTCCCCTTATCTAGCT